ATATCAACAAAGATTGCACAACTCTTTCACGATGGATTTAGACAAAAAATAATGTTTTCTCACCTTTCCGTATTCTTGGGGAACCTGAAGAAAGACAGGTCGGGCTTACACTGACAATTCGAGCAATTTACAGCAGAACAGTAAGCTGAGCTAACAGCACACAGCAGACAGTTGCACAGTAGCAGATACAGCAGCATCCGGGAACTTCGTGTAAACTTAATTGCTTCCTAAAATGGCGGTTGTGGCGACCCACGACCTACTACGCTATTATTGGAGAGTGGTTTATCTTGTGCCTACGGCACTCTACGATCTTTGGACACTACGTTGAACCGTCACCAATCGCCTACGACACAATCGCGTACAATAGCTAAACAATCGCGTGTAAAAGTCAAACATGGAGCACAATTTTTTTTTTTATCGCGGATAATACGTGACAAGCGTATAAAAGCAAAAAAAGCGCGTACAAAAAGCTATAAATCGCGCTCAAAAGTTGTAAATCGCGTACCAAAGTTATAATTTGCGTATAAAAGTTTTAATTCACGTATAAAAGAACGTGAAAACGTGAAAAAGTGAAAGCCTTTGGCGCCACCGCATCCGGTGCCATGCCGATGGCCAAGGTACTGTAACGCCTATTTCTACGTATATAACTACTCCTATACAGCGGTGTTCTAATTAGATTACAACGGGGTTGAATTCCCGGCGCAAAATTGCTCGCTACACTTCCCCGTGGCCGCAGAACGAGACTCCGCTCTCGTAGAAACGACCGTCTGTACAGTTAGGGCCTGTAGCGAACAATATATACAGAGAAGAAAATCCCGTGCGATAAAACACTTGGCTGTTTATCCACCACTGTGACAGAAAACCTTAACCATGGGCGTCGTAGTAAACGCACAATCAAAATCACAATCAAAATCAACATCGAAAGCGAAATCAAATCGAAATCAAATGGAAACGAAAAAACACAAATAAATCCATGACATAGAAATCAAATAGAGTATACACGCACGGTCGTAAAAGGAATAGCTAAAACAAGATGATACAATAAATTGCATGGGAGAAATACCCTTTTGCTCACTCCGATTTCAATTTGCAATAGCGCAGTTAGATTTAAATATTTGTCATTATTCACCCCTGATATATTGTAGATACACAAGAGCAGATATTGTTTAT